TATATATATATATATATATATATATATATATATATATATAAAATATATATAAAAACAAAGTCTTTTTAGGAAGTCACGTCGGCCAATCATCATCGAATAGCACGACGATCTTCTCTCACAAACTATGTTATATTCAGGAAGGTTACTTTCGTCTTTGCAAATCTCGAGCGAACGCAATTCCGAGGGTTCCCTCTCACTTGCGAGAAGAAAAGTTGTATGACCGTGTCGAAAAGAAAGTCAACGACCGGATTGAATTTTACCTCCTTACTCACGTACATACTTACATACATACATACTAGCATACATACGTACATACATTTACACAATATACATATGTATATAAAATGCGCGAATATTTGTTTTCCCCTTTAGCGCGTTCTTTTCTCTTATGTATATTCATATATGCATATCATCATCTTCCACCCTTACAGAATAATATTGAATATATTTATTTTTAATTCTGCTTATTTTTTCTTTTGTTTAAGGATAACGCGGATCCGTCAAATACCTCGACGAGGTATTATGAAGATTATGAAGATTATGATGAGATCGACTACGTCTATAGTCCCTGTGAATTTGATTGGGTACTCGGTATCCCAAATGTGATCCTAAATATGGTACTGTACGAAATATACGTTGATCTGGATGATCCTGTTGAAGATGATCTTGTTGTATTGCACCAGGATAATCGGGTGCAGGTGGTACCAGATGACCAATCTCTATCGATGGTTGAAACTGTGACAATCCGTAAAGAACCCCTATGGATCTTCTGCAAAGCTCTTGTTGATGTTTCTGCTTTTCCTCTTCTAATTCTCGTTGTTGTTGTTCTTGTCGTCTTCTGCTTTGGGAAGAACCACTCTCTGTTGAATTGCTATCCTCGCTAGTACCCAAGCCTGGATCTCGTTCCTCGAAAGCTGCTAGACTAGTAGCCGGACTCGGTTGAAGGGATTTTATCATGCTACCGTGATGATAGTACGAAAGCGTAAGGTGGGGTATAACGAAAGGTTGTTGAAGTTTATCGACAAGCTCTTTTTCCGCTATCCCATTCTTTCTCGTGACTTTATCTCCGCGTTCGTTGTCGTCCGCTTCATCGTGGTCTTTGTCCGTATTGGAACTGGTACAGGAACCTGGTCCAAAAATGGACAATAAAACCGGTAAGAGGAAGAGACCGTGCATGGCACCGATGAAAATCACCAGAAAGACCATTTTGAAGAAAACTAGGAATATATACGTTCCGGCAAGTAACAAAGCTACCAAGCCGAGTATAGTTGAGGCAGCACCTTGGACAATTGGTAGACCCAAACTATACAAACTTTCTTTCACCCTGTCCTCTGGTGAGACTTTCTTCGAACTCATATAGGCATAACATATATGAGCCGTGAAATCGACACTGAATCCAATACACATTATTAGATTAATCATCGAAATACTATCGAGATTTACGCTCCAAAGAGCCATGTAACCAGCTACACCAAGCTCGATCGAAACGATACAGAATGCAACCCAAAGACAACATAATATATTGGGGATAAATATAAAACTTATGAGCATCATTACGAGAGCACCAAATATCATACACTGTATACTAGTTGGCCTGACCAATTCGAATTGATCAAAAAATACGAAGTAAGGATGAAAAACGCTAGCATTGAGTAAAGAATCTTTACAAATTTGTCGCAACTCCTTGACCATCTCCTTTTCTTGATTCGTACCACTGACGTTTACCGCCTGAATCAAAAACCTACTAGCCACAATGTGCTCGTCATTCTCGTCGAATTTAACGTCGAGGGAAAATGTGCTGGTCGAGTAGAGCCATATCCCTTTTAACGCCTTGACAAAGCTACCCTCGTCTTTGATGCTCACATTCAGGTAGTCCTCGTTTCGCGATACGTAACTTAGGAAGCTGCGCAACCAGCTTTCTGTGTAGATCGGCGCACTGATGTATGAACTAGCCTCGAGGGATTTTGTGAGGTTCTCCATTTGCTGCTGTATCTCTGGATCACTATAGTCATACTGGCCAGACACTACCACCTGCAAAAATGGAAAGAGAATGTGTAGTCATCTTAGTATATGTCTTTTCTTTCTATATACGTATATATATGTGTATGTACATTGGAAAGAGAAAGAAAGATAGAGAAAGGAAATGTCTGGGATTCAAACGTAGCAAGGATGTGTTTACGTGAAAGCAATCTCGTGAAAGTGGCCCTCCAGGGACTTTTTTGGATTGGCAGACGAACCCAATGCCAATAGACGGGGGACAAAACTTTACGGGGAAAATGTTTTTACGTTCACCTATGAATCAACAACCCTCTTTTGTTCTGTCAATTTTTCTACTTTCTCTCGAGTGACTCCATTGCTTTCGTTCATATTCGAAATAAATCAAACTATTAACTGGTAAAATAAGAATACTAATTTACAAGTGCTGTCGATAAATTCCTAATGAATATTTTCAACAAAAATAAATAACAAATGGTTACTAATTTATATGTTTTTCATATTTTTAATCAATATTTGAAATCAGTGATTAATATTTATAATAAAATATCGCGCATGTACGTAGACCATATCTATGTAATATTGATGTAATATTGATCCAAATCTAACGCAACCGTGATGTAACCCTTATACAATTCTACTTCCGTAATAAATACTGGCAAATTATTATTTACGCCGACTAATTATATCATTATAACTAAAAAATAGTTTATTTACTTTTTAATAGTTTATTTTAGTAGTTCAATAGTTTATTTACTTTTTTTACATTTTTAATAGAAAATATAAAAATACTTTTATTAATTAATAATGTTTATACATTATTTATACTAAACAAATTATTTATTAACTATTATTTATTTACTATTTATTTTACAATATACTAATTCAAATAAATAAATATGGTAAAAAATTGGTACGTTGACTAAATCGTTATACAAAGAAATTTTTTAATTTCAATTTTAAAAAATAATATTTTCGACAATTTTCTAAAAAAAAAGATATAAAATATAAAATAATCTACTTCCGGAATATGTCTCTAAATCGGTCAGCTTCTTCTCGGCTGATTGGACTCGTCGTCGTAACCATTGACGCAATATAAAGTTGTTACTTTTCTCAAACTCAGTTGGCCGGCTCAACTCTTGCGGAGAAAGTTGTTTAAAGTGAAAGAGAGAATTGTAACTGAAGTAGAGGAAGAGAAGAGTCAAGTAAGGGGAAAAACGTGACATAATTGTGCGTAAACCATACGTGCTACTCTCCATATATACATGCACACATACGATACAATACTTGTTTCGTAACACCTTATGGGCCTCATAGATTACGAACGAGTTATAAACAAAAATAATATTTATTAGAGAGTTGATTCTCGTTATTCGAGAAAGTCATGAATTAACGTCACCAATGAGCTGATAAATTTCCTCTTATTTTTTTTTTCTTAAGAATTTCTGGTAATTTGAAAATTCTAAGAAAGTTAAGGGAAAGTTAAATTTGTATGAAGGAATACTTGCTGATATAGTCGTAAAATTAATTAGGCGATTAAAAAAAGTTTCTATTATGAAGATACTTTACTTGTAACAACAAAATTAAATCTTTTTTTTTTTTTTTAAATTAAATCGATTAAACTTCGCGAAATAAATCAAAGTAGACAAAATTGATAAAATTGTATGCATTTTCACAACGTTTATTACTGATAGGCGATGAAATTTTTGTCATTTAATGGCGTTTAGTCTAAATATTAAGAAAATTTATTTTAAATGTAAAAAGTTAAGTTTTATCAAATTTTAAAAATGGAATTAACCGTTTTGTTATTTGAATTGTTCATATATATTATTACAACTTATTTAAAGAAAACAAAATTTTGTATCATTATTTTTGGTACATCTTGTATATACACATAAGATGATATACTCATATATACAAAGTACAACTCATAAATTAATAGATACTAATGTCTTTGTATATGAAATGATATACTCATATGTAAAGCGCAACTCGTAAGTTAATATGTACTGTTCTATATAGTATGATACATATTCACATACCAAGAGAATACCATACTAAAGAGACTAGCTTTCAACAATGGGAAAGCTTTACCACACAACTTTGCCAACCCTTCTTTGATTTAATAATTCAAAGGTAATCAAGTTTACACGCTTTCTTAACTAATGTTAGAAGTTAGACCAAAAGATCTTAAATCATCTAAAAAGATCAATTATCTTTCGATTAAAGTACCCCAAAGTTCATAAATAATCTGAATTATCGATTAAATTTTGTCTATTTCTTTTGAAATGAAAGAAAAAATAAATCAAATTAATTATAAAATACAATTAGAAGAACTTTGGTGCCCAATTCTGTAAAAAGAACGATAATTATGAATCTTCAAGAAATAATTCTAGTGTAATGTATATCTACGGGAGAAAAGATGAATAAAAATAAAAAAAAAGAAATTAAATAATCTAACCATACCTGTATTCTATATGGGAATTCCCGGAAGTAAAAGTCTTCACGATCGTAGAACGCAATCGAGTAAGAATCTTCCTTGGAAAGTTTTCGCCGATCCAATCCTTCCTGTAGGGTTGTTAATCCGTATAAAGCACCAAGCAAATAACAGATGAAGATGAAAATGATAATGGCCTTGACGGGTCGACAATTCAATGCTACTGCCAGGTAGTCCCGGAACCAGGTCATGCATCCATGTTCAGGATTGTCAATTGGATTCTTCGGATCGTCAGGATCTACTCCTCCAGTACAGAATAATCGATAAAGCCAAGAACGATGTGCTGCAATCAAAATTAAAGACGTATATCAGTTATATGAGAATACCATTATGTAATTCAAATTCATCATTATGTTCCTAACGTTCCGAAAATGAAAAATTATGGGAGAAATTGAAATAATATCTCAAAAATTAAAATGTCAAAATTTAATTAAAGTTAGACATAAATCTAATAACTTTAAATATCTAAAAATATCAAAATGATAAATGCGACTATTTATTAAATCACTTTAATAAATCATAAATCGTAATCTGGTATAAATAATAAAATAATCTTGATAGAAAAATATAAATATATTACTACACATCTTAATTTATTTTAATTTATGATATTTAAAATTATAAATATATTACTACAAATTTCTATATAAAAATTTTATTAATAATTCTTTTCTTTTTTAAATTATGTATTTACAATTTTTTAAATTAAATTTAATGAAAATTTAGAAATATTAAATTTAAAATTGTTTCAAAAATATAAAATTTAATAATAATTTTTAAATATTTAATTTAATTGATTAATTTAAATGATTAAATTAATTTATTTTTGTAAATAATTTTTGTTATTAAATTTAGTGATTGAAATTTTTATTTATAAAAATTAAAATTATTTTATTTTTTATTTAAATTATATATATAAATTAAATATAAATAAATATATAAATATAAATTTTATATTAATTAATTGTAAAATTAATAATTTAAAAAAAAAATTATTTTGTCAAAAAAGTGCATTAAATTTAGAATTTAATAATAAAAAATTATTATATATATGTAAAAAATTTAATTTTATAAATAATAAATAAATAATTTTCTATTTAGGTATAAAATTTTTTAATAAAATTTAAATATAGAAATTAAATAAACCTATATTTATTATATAGAAAAAAATAATTTTTTTATTATTAATATTAATTAATTATAAATACTAATTATTAATTAATTATATTTTATTAATTTTTTTATAGGAAATAAATATATAATCATTTATTAGCATGATTCTTATTTAACATGCGAAGACTATGATCAACGAATTTCACTATTATCTCCTTTGAATAACAAATAACAGAAGGAATACTATTACAAGGACTGATTTAATTGACAGATGAAATATAGGGGAAAAAAAGTTAGTATATAAAAAAAAATATATTACGAACTCTTTTAATCGTATTGGAAGTATGTATTATTGAATAGTTGCTTTGAAATAATTCAATATATCGATGAGCGTTGTTGAAAATTTTGATGAAATCGAGAGAAAGCAAAGGTATTATTACTGTTACTATTACTACTACTACTACTACTACTATTATAAATACTTTAGTCGTTATATAAAGCAAGGCGATCTAAGGAATAAACGGCATTCGAGGCATAATACTCGTCTATTTTCTGACGTAATATGCCCTCCAGGTAGGTATGTTCCGTTTCTAAAGGCGTAACGAGATTTCGAATCGCGTACCACGAAACGACAAAACTCGGCCGATGACAATGAAGACCCCTCCTCCCCATCCCCCTTTCCCTTTTCTCTCTTCCCTTTTCTCTCTTCCCCCTCATCCTTCCTCATTCTTCTTCTTCTTCTAAACTTCTACCTGAACTTCTTCCACTTCTACCTTTCAACCTTCTCATCCTAGAACGAGGACGACGATGTATGAAAGCATCGAAGCAAACTATTGTGTTGTACTTTTCTCGATATCGATGCAAAAGTGAAAATTTCTCAGGATGCTACTTTTGCCCCCGCGTCTCTATTCTTTACCTCTTTATATACCTCTTTTACAATACTTCTTTATGATGTACGTGTACGTGTGTGTCTACTATGGTGTTCGTGCGCGTGTTTTCTTAAAGAAAAAGAAAAAAAAGAAAAAAACGTGAAGGGAAGAGATAGTATAGAAAGAATCTTTAGCAAACTTCTTCTTCTTTTACCTCTTTTTTCTCTTTTACTTTTTCCTGTTTCTATACTACTTTATTCGTTGTCGTTATCGTTTATTTTATTTTTCCTTTTATTTTCCTTTTCTTTTTCTTTTATTTTTAAAATAAATTTGTCAAAGGATAGTTTGAATAATTTGAAGAAAATTTATTTCATTGAAATTGTATATATATATATATATATAATATCTCTTTTGAATATTAAGAATTTAAAGTCAGTTCTTTCTCTAATAGTTTTGAGATTATGTCAAAAGATAAAAATAAGAAAAAAACAATAGGAACAATAAATAAAATGGTTAAATGCATTACAGATAAAATTGATTAAATGGAAACTGAATTCATGAAAATATACTAATTGTGGATAAAAAAATTTATTTTCTCACATATTACAAATTCATGAGTTTGGAGAACCGGTTTCCTTGTTTTTTTTTTTTTTTTTTTTTTAATAGATTAAACATAAATACCTCCACTCTCTCATTTGCGTAATAATAACAACGAGTATTCTCGACAATACGATCCCGAAGTCCGTATACATAAGTAACAAGTCAAACAAAAATGGTGTAATAAAAGTTTAGCAGTGCAATTTTTCGAGCAATTTGTGATATGGTTCTCCTAAAAGAACATTTGCGTTCTATACAAACGTTGACGGCTTCTACTCGTTTATGTAGAAAGTAAAGTTCTTCTCGTGTAAAAAGTAAATGAAAGTTCAAATAAAAACAACGAATGATACGTTTGAGGTAACAGTCCCTTGTGAAAGTATTCCGGGTAATAAAGATGGTGTCCTACGTTCGAAGAGTTCGACAAGTATCTTTTGTTATCTCTTCTTCTTCTTTTTATTTTATCTTTATTTTTATTTTTATTTCTTCTTTTAATCAAATACATATCTCTCTAATGTTTTGACAATATATGGAATATAACATATGTTAGAATTATTAGTTTTGTCTAGAAAAGAAGCATTTGTAATATTAACGTATTACCTGCCACAATACAAAAATACAAAAAAAAAAAAATAAAATTAACTGTATAATGATTTTCATAATAATTAACTGGAACTTAGTTTGCTATACTTGTTGTTGTTTTTATTTAAAATATGAATCACGTGTACGATTTCATTATTTTAACGACTATATTTCATTCTGAAGTTGCAATTATTAAAAAAAAAAAAGTTCAATGTAAGATCGGATGTTTAAAGTATTGGATTGTAAACGTGAAAGTTGATAACAAATGTCATGTTTGTTCCATTGAAATTAGAAAAATACTGGATTAACCAATGATGATATAATCATTCGTATAAATAATATTAGTTTCGTTTATTTAAATATCAAATATTAAAACGTATTTTTTATTGTAACCATATTATTTATCGATAAAGTTTTATTTCACAAATAAAAAGAAAAATTATACTCACATGATTTAGAAAGAGGTTGAACTTTGCAGCAAACTACGCTGTGAAGATTCTTTTGCTCGCAATAACCGCTTATGGCAACGCATCCGGAAAAGAATGTTAAATGAAAGAGGAAGGTGAATACCACGGCGAAACCTATGTATTGTAAACAAACAAACAGTCATTATTTAATATTAATAAATGAAATGTTATCTATACGTTACTTATATTATTTTTCTTTTTTATATTATTGTAAACAGTTATGAACGAAAAATTATTTTCATTCAATTTCTTTCTTCAAATTGCATTCTTTTTTTTCAACGTATAAAATTTCATTCTATGCATTCCATTTTTTTTTTTTTTAGAAATACAGAAATCTTACATACGCGTATGGGTTTAACATTTTTCGAGGCAAATTCACTTTAATGTGAAAAAAAAAAATGATTTATTTTTTATAGAGTCTCAAAAATGTTCAACCCCCGTTTCGTACAATACCTCGATTAATACGTCAATTAAAATATTTGGAAAATTTTCCTTATCCAGTGTTATTTTTCTTTTTGTTTATTTTTTTTTATAACTACAAATATCTTCGTATAAGAAAAGTCAAAGATGGCGAGGTAAGAAAGTGTGTGCAATAAGTGCAACATTCTCTTTTTACACTTTCACTATATACTTGAATGAATGATACTATAGATATTAGATTATTCTCGAAAAGCATACATATATCTTTGTATAGAAAAATTCAGTGTCACATTGTCGGTTTCCAATGAACTTCCAAACTACTGAACCGATTTTAATGAAATTTTTTTTATTTTGTGTGATTTTTTTCAACTTTGAATGTAGAATAGTTTTTTATTGCGATTATTTTTATTTTTTTGACTAATTTAAGGACTTATTATTTAGAGATTATCTAAGTCTCTAGGTACTGTCAATTTTCAGTAAATGGCGCTGTATTACAATTCTATTATTTTGATATATTCACGTTTTTTTCAGATTTACATATGCCATAACTAACCTTGTCTTTTATACTTTTTTATGTATTATTGTAGTATTACTTTGTGTGTTGTTATAAATATATTGTATATTACATATATTAAAAATTTTATGTTGTTTTATGCCTAATTTGAATATCTATAAATTATTAGTGAATATTTGATTGCATTAAATAGTTTAGAATTATATTAAATCAACGTTTTATAACAAAACCACAGCAACGCGTGGCCTGAGCATCCCATATATGTATATGTTTTGGTATGATAGAATTAATAAATAATCGAATGAACGTGAAATAAAATTAACATAAGTAAATACCTGAATAAATACAGAATATTTGAACCGAGGGAAATGGTGATAGGATGCCAATGAAGAACGATATCATATCAGTCAAAGACGTGATCGTAATCGATACAGCAGCTTCGCTCAAAGTCTGGGCCATTCTCTCAGGTACTGGTTTGGTAATACATGTTCGTCTCCAGGCAGCTAACATTACGAATGTATCGTCGATTCCAATACCTAAATTGTACAGACAGTGAAATATACAGTTATTAAATTCATTAGGTCGATAATACATTGATAATACAACAAAGAGGATATTAATTTATTGGATTGCCTGGGAAATTCGTATTTCATCGGATACGGGCCGTTAAATTTTAGGATCCTCCCTTGACATTCATTGAAGTCTTTCCCAATTATTTTTTTGTAAAAAAATTGTTTTTTCATCCTTTTTTTAGAGGGTGAGGGGAGATAGGTATAGAACAGCATTTTTACAACGATTTTCATGAATTTTTTTAACGCATAAGGAATTCATATTATTTATTGATATTATTATAGCAACAAAGAGATGCTGTTTAAATTTTAATTCAAATAGAGCGTATTTATATGGAGAAACTACAGACCAAATTTTCAAAAGATTGGTTGAAAAAAAAATTTTACACGTATTGGAATTTTGACTTAAAATTTTAGGAGTATACTTTTAGATAGTTTTATAAGTGATTTATGAAAAAAAAGTAAATCAAAATTTTTAAAAACCTCTATACCTATCTCCTCATTAAATAAGACAAATTATATGCGACATACATTTAAAAAAAATTTTTTTTTTTATTTTATTCGATTCATTTGGATATATTAATATAGATATATAATGATATTTCATTCAAATCCAATATCTTTCTAAGATAACGATTTAAATTTTGTCTAGGTAAAAAAATGTTTTGTGTAATTTATTTCATATTTAATTTTTTTGTTATTATTTTTATTTTTGTTTGATTGCGAAGAAAGTCCTTTAATTGAAAGGGATCCTAGGTTGAGATTAATAAAAGCTATATCTAAAACCACCCTTGTTATCGATATAATTATAGAAATATATTATGAGAATTAGTGGATACAGTTTGAAACGTCAGAAAAGAAAATATAGTAAAATTAAAGCAAAAAAAAAACAAAGTAAATTTAATCGGAAAAGAAATTGTTTTTGTGTTAGGCTACAAAACTTTTCAATTCATCCTCGTATTTACATCGAAATATGAGTGTAGTTTTCGCCTTTGAATATTTCTCGAAATTCCGGGTAACTGAATATTACATTACAGCCTTTCTCAACTTTTTTACCGTACAACCCAATACATTTGTAATATTACCATAATGTACATTGTTCATTGCTTATAGGAAATTTGAAATTTTCAAGATACGACTGATAAGACTGCATTATTTTCACGATTTCTATAAAAACGTTGAAATAAAAATTGTTCTTAAAATCTTTTAACAAATGAATTATATAATGTATAATCCTTATTTTGGTTAAAAAACAATAAGTATCATTGAACGAGCTATTAAAAATGAAATGCGACCAAATATTCAATAATCGTAGCCAATATGGTGTACAGTGAGCAGCGGTATAATGCATTATTAGGCAATTCGATATCTTTGTTATTCGTATCACATTGATCAACTAGGTTATTGAATAATTGTATCAATAGATAGTAATCTAACGAGTCATACGGTATCTATTTCTATTATTTTAACGTCATTGTATTAATATTATATCTCTGATTACATACATACATTTATAATTATTATTATTATTATCATTAATATTTATTATTAATTAATAATATTGTTCCAATTGATTTGCTATGGATATATCTCGTTTGTAATTCAAATTGATACATAAAAATAAGAATAAATCACAAAGTTGTTGTTTTAAGTAATACAAGTTAAGATGTTTTTGTTTCTATTGATTATTCATGTGATTCTCATTTTTTCTAATTTTGTCTATTTCTCTTACGAAAATAAAGAATCTATGTCATTGTTGTCTTGTTCATCGTCTTTGTTGAAATTAATTAAGAGCCCTATGGAATTAATTTTTCAAATGAATTTCATTCTTCAACTATTTGATCGTGCGTGACTCAGGTCAACGATATCCCGATTCAAACAGATTTATCATAGTGTTTTATATTTGTCATGGAACTGTATATAAGTGCAACTAGACAACGTTATTATTATACTAACTTTATGATGAGCAATTCATCGTCGACAACGAAAACGACCGACTCGCTGATTCGATGAGATGATTCAGAGTATAATTTATTAGGTGATTCAATTGATGTTATTAAAACTAAATGTATCATCCTCAATCAAATGAACAATTTTTTTTCATTGCTTCATTTTTTACAGTAGTAAGTTCTCTTTATTTAACTTTACAATAATTAGAATTTGTTGATATTGTTTTATTATATTTACATAACATCAAAATATTTTATTTATTAAGTACAAATACTTAATTTTGAAATAGAAATGAGGATTATTTAGAAAAAAAAAGAAAAAGAATTTTAAAAAAATTGTTTAATTTTTAATCATATAAGAGAGTAAGGTATACTACCTACCACCTATTCAATTATCTAAAATAACAAGTTCCATTTAATCAAACAGTAAAATCTACCACCTAAATAGCAACTACTTAATTTGATTCGCTAGGAAGAATTACATTTGTGATATTTCTATCCGTATCGTCAAAGCACTCAGCAATTTAATTGCGTTTTAATTAATTACGCTATGTTATACCGCGTAATTTGATTTTATGTAGAATATTTATGTCCATATTTGTATCCCAGGTTAATATGTAATTATAGATAATATTATTTCATTATTCGCTTTGACGAATTTCCAACGATTTCACTCCTAACGTTTTTAGATATTTGTCATCATTTATAAACACTCAGAAGTATTCGTATTCTTACTGTCAATATAAAACTATTAATATTTTTTTTCTAATACAACATTTCAAAATTCTTATACACAGATAAATACAGTAGAATTATTCCAATTTGTAAATTGATATTAGTTTTATTGCAAAAATTCATTTTATATTATAAGAGAAGTAAAATTGTATATAAATGGTAAGAAAAATTGGTCTCACAAAATATACCCAATCATTTCACATACATTATAAAATACAAAATAGAATTGATTAAGTATTACTTATGTTAAAAAATAATGGTATTTTTTTATTATATCTTACGTAGGTACAAATATTTTCATATTTGTACATATGTATAAATATATTGAATGTATATCATATTCTATATGAATAAATAAATAGAAAAAAAAGTAACATTTTTTCATTGAAGATCTCATTTTTAAGAAAATTGTATTTCGAAAATTTTATTTTTAAGAAACTTCTCTTACCATCAGATTAATGATAATTATAAAAGAAATTGTAGTTAATTAAGTTTTGCATTATCTCGTCTGTATTACTTTTCTATTTGGATTATAATGATTTAAAACTCGTTTTCTATGATATTCAATTGTGCTCTGGCGTTGCATCATCGTCACAGTTCGACTGATAGGAACTAACTGAATTAAGGAGAAATAAGTCGTACAAAATGTAGGACAAAATGTAAACATTATGGAAGACAATGAATACGAAACTAGTAGCGAAATATATATATTTCGCTAATATTCAGAGACAAAAATCAGTACACATGAAAGTTTGATGATAAATATATTTTGAACGCTTAATTTAATCGCCAAAACATAAGACACCATTTTTATAGAGTAGTTAATTTCCTACCAAAATTTGTATTGTGCACTTTTTAATAGTCATTTATTGTCGAGTTATAAAATTCATAAGCAAAAATGAGATTTGTCTAAAAATCATCAAATTTAAATCTTCAATATTATTCAAATGGTGAGGTTTACGGAAAATATATAAGATACCTTTTTTTGTAGAGCATTAAATTTCCTACAAAATTCTTCCAGAACATTTTTCTGTACAATCAATTAATGATGAGGTATGAATTTTATTCTATTGGACTGAGAAAAAAATAAAAAACTACGATGCGGAGGATCTTTTTATTAAAATTAAGAGCTCATATTTCGTAAAAATTTTTTTAAGGTGTATAGCAACCCATTTTTCCGTGGCACTTGTAAAAAAAAAAAATTGATTTTTTTGATCCACTCTAATATATATATTTGTTGTTGGTAAATAATCGAAAAAATAATTCCAGTATGCAAGTATTTGTAAAGACGTAATTTTCTCGATAACAAATCCTCAAAGGAAAAAAATTTAAATTAACATACGGAACACTTTACCCCTATTATTTTATATAATTATATAATAGATTTTGAAAACAATGAAATAGATTTATTTTTAAAACGATGGTAAATGTGTTTTTTTTATGTATCTGATCTACCCGTAGTAAAATAAAATTAAATATAAATCATTAAAAGAAAATCCTACTTTACATAATAATAATAATAATAATAATAATAATAATAATAATAATAATAATAATAATAATAATAATAATAAAAATAATAAGTGTAATAAATTATAGTATAAATACAAAAATTAAAATGAATTAACTAACTGTCAATTAAAATTTGAATAACGCTAATAATTTAATTTAATCTCATTAATCCATCGTAAGATCTAATTAGACAAGTATCGTTGTAAGAAGTGTATAAATTGTTCTAACAGATGAGAAATGAAATGAAACTTGATCACAATGACATAAGTAATTAAAATAAGATTTATTCAGTCACGTTTGTCTAACTATATAAGTAAATAACACGTAATCCACTAGTATGGCGCCAAAGAAAAAATGACAATCACAATGGATTTTCCGTTATTCTCGAATCTAACGTAAATAACTTTACGCGTTATCTTCGAGGAAGCATTAGGTATTTTCGTCGTACGTAGTAGTAGACTACTACTGCAGAAACAGATTTGCATAGGATCGATAGAAAGACGGTGGTAACTTTGAATTACAATGATTTTTAAAGGAACTCCTAGAAAAGCCGACGAGGATTTCATCGGATCAATGGAAATAACGTATTTTCCGTGAATCTACGCGTCGGGAATTTAAAAATGGAAGAGTAAAAAGAGAGAGGGAAAGAAAAAGGAAAGATAGAGAGATGTATTTAAAAGCATACCTTTTCTACCTTTTGAAGAAGAAGAAGAAGCTTTTATTCGAACTGGAAAGTATATGACAATATACCGTAGGAAGCTTTTAAAACAA